TTTGAGCCTATATATCTCATTTTCTGTGAAAGATATCGAAAAGTGGCTAACTGGTAAAATGTTGCTGATAACCTGATAAACATTTTATTAGTTAACCACTTTTTGATATCTTTCAAAAGAAGTGAGATATATAGGCTCAAAGTGGACGATCCGGGTGTCGTTCTATTAGAGGTTTTACGGTAGATTATTCGAGTTTCTTACGTTGAGAGCTTCAAAATGAGCCTAAACAACCTTGCTTTGGTTTTTTTGGGTGCGTCGCGGTCGTGCGTCGCGTGTTAGTCATCAAATTTGAAAGTTGTCCAATTCTAGGCGTGATTAGGCTCATTTCAAAACTCAGAAGTTTAGAAATCCAGACATTCAAATTTCAAGCTTGAGAAACATCAATTAGATTTTCAGAATTTTGAAAATTTCAAAAAACTCATTTCAATCTCGGTCAAACTTTATGAGTTTTAATTTTTTGAGTTTCTTACGTCGAGAGCTTTAAAATAAGCCTAAACACGACTAGATTTGCGTTTCTTCAAACTTTGGGGTGCGTCGCGGTCGTGCGTCGCGGTAAGGCAATAAATCTGAAAGTTGACCAAATCTAGACATGATTAGGCTTATTCTGAAGCTCAAAACTTTAGAAAACTGAAATTTTAAACGTTAATTTGTTTAATAAATTCCAGAAGGGTCTCCATTCGGAATGCTTTGATCCTCCCCCTCAACGATGCTTCTCAACTGATCAGCAGCCAAAATGCCAAAGTGCCGCTTTAGAGCTCTCCAACTCGTGGTCCAGCCAAGAACCAATCCTTCTTTCCGAGACCATTTTTTCGATACCATCTACTCGAATGCAATTCTGTATACTTTTTGCGCATCCTTCGCTTCAATTTGTGGCACCAATGTCCTGCTTCTCATGTTGGGTCCCTATGTTGAGTCCCTGGTTAATGCATTGATTTTATTTAGAGAGAGAGAGAGAGAGAGAGAGAGAGAGAGAGAGAGAGAGAGATTAGAGAGTGTGGGAAGAGGAGGAGGGGGAGAGGAAGAGAAGCTGCTCGGCGATTTTTGCAAATCTTTCGTCACCGGTTCCTGTTGAATCCTGAAAAAAAATTTTTTGAACTTCTGAATTCCTGGCATTCTACAGTTTAAAATTGCAGCTCTTATTTTGTTTCACGTACCAAGTCCAGTTCATGCTCCTCGTTGTTTCTCAGATGCTCAAAAATCACTTCAATATTCTCTTCGAAATTCTTATCATCTTCCTCAACAGCCTTAAGTCTTGCGCACACATTGTCGATTTCCTGTGGATTCTTTGGATCGAATGGAGCTTCTCCAAGAGCTTCCAGAATTTCGTTCAATTGGCTGATGGTCAAAGATGGCTTGGTGGCTTTCGATGAGCTCTGAAACTGGTTAAATTTTAAATTATCTGAATTTCTGAATTTCTGAATTTCTGAATTTTAGAATTTCTGAATTTTAGAATTTTAGAATTTCTGAATTTCTGAATTTCTGACTTTTAGAATTTTAGAATTTTAGAATTTCTGAATTTCTGAATTTCTGAATTTCTGAATTTTAGAATTTTAGAATTTCTGAATTTCTGAATTTCTGACTTTTAGAATTTTAGAATTTTAGAATTTCTGAATTTCTGAATTTCTGAATTTCTGAATTTCTGAACTTTTGAATTTTTGAATTTTAGAATTTCTGAATTTCTGAATTTCTGAATTTCCGAATTTCTGAATTTCTGAATTTCTGAACTTCTGAATTTCTGAATTTCTGAATTTCTGAATTTCTGAATTTCTGAACTTCTGAATTTCTGAATTTCTGAATTTCTGAATTTCTGAATTTCTGAATTTCTGAATTTCTGAACTTCTGAATTTCTGAATTTCTGAATTTCTGAATTTCTGAATTTCTGAATTTCTGAATTTCTGAATTTCTGAATTTCTGAATTTCTGAATTTTCGAATTTCTGAATTTCTGAATTTCTGAATTTCTGAATTTCTGAATTTCTGAATTTCTGAATTTCTGAATTTCTGA